AGAGGCACCCACGGGCATGGGTCCCCGGTGAGGGCTACTGGCAGCCCTAGAGGAATGCTCGGAGGGGGGGGAGCAGGCTGGGGTCTGGTGGCCCCGGGGGGCAGGGGGCACGCCTGACAGAAGTCGGATGATCAAAGCCTCGTGGACGGGGACAGAATGAACGCACCAAGGCCCCCAGACCCCTTTATTTTTATGGAACTACTGGCAGGTTTTCTACACATGGGTCAGACAACCTCCACGTTGTCGCTGGAAATAAAATTATTTCCTTCCCCAAATGCCTGAAAAACACACCAAATGGGGGCAGATGTGTGGGAGGGGAAAATGGAGCCCTCTGGGTTGGCGGCCGGGCGCACTCCGACCCTCCCTCCCCACTTCTGGATCAAACCCAGTCGGCACGCAGGAACGTCCCCAGGACCAACGGGAACCCTTGCAGGAAGGCTGCAGCCTCAGCCCTCCTTGATCTCAGGGGGCAGGGGTGGGGAGTGCAGGGTACTCGCCTGGCACAAGCACACGGAAGGCGACATAAAGATGGGAACTCAAGAAAGGAATGCAGGTTCCCGAAGAACCAGCTAGGTCCCGCACGAAAACTAAATCAGTAAATCCCCGACTCCAACCAAGTGCTATTATAATTACAACCTAACCCTAATGATAAAGTCCAACATCAAAAGCAAAAAAATAAATGTGTTTAAAAAAATTTAGTACTCTTTCAACCTGTGCTTAAAATCTCCTGATTTTATCTGCTGGGGAGCAGGCTCTGTGTCAGGCCTGGAATATTCTCAAGCCCCGCCAGGGGTTCCTGAGCAGTTGGGTGGGACCCTGCCACATACAATTATCATGAAAATAATCTTCAGGGTCCTCAAAACTATATTGATGTGGAACTTCATAAAAATTAATTGTATGCCAAGTCTTTGACCTCAGAAAAGCAGCAAACCCACTTCTTCGTCACAAGTACACAAGTAAGCCTAAGGGAACCACTGGAGACCTGGGCCCCTCACTGCGGACCCAAAGAACAGCCTCAACGGCCACACCCCAGCCCCACACAACATGTCCACGCTCAGAGTGTGCCCAGCCGAGAGGGACGAGGTGTGAACCTGGGGAAACCTGCAGCCAGGCGTGGGCAGTCAGGACTCCGAGAGGCTCCGCCCCAGCCAGGTCTCATCATGCCAGCCTCGGGACGACAGCAAAGCAGATGCCTGAGCCGCACACAACAGCTTCAGAGCAACTGAGCACCCAAAAGACACGAGCGGTGGCAATGCCCATCAACAATTTACTTGAAAAAGTAAGACTCAAAATTGCCTTGAAACACCTAAAATTCCAGTCTACGTTAGCAAAGTACTAACTTCAAGGCCTTTTACCATAGTATAATATGTAAAAAACCAACCCAAACCAAGAAGCTCAGATCATGCTGCTGGAGTGTGACTCTGTGTTGTCCCACATGTGAGGCCCTGAACTCCATCCCCAGCATCACAAAAAAGAAACAAACAAGTAGACTTAGAAGACCAGGATGTGCCTTTTACACAAAATACTACTTAGCGACCTGAAACACACTAAAATCTTAAATGTTTTCCCTTTGTCAAGAGAGCAATACTAATGTCAGAGTACAAGCAAAAGGTTGTTCGGAAGAGGCGAGGGAGAGCTCCGAGGGCAGCCGAGAGAGGAAGCCCGTCTTCACACGGCACTGACACCGCCGGTGCAGGCACGGCCACACGCGTCCAGCTGCCTGATCCGTCAGAACAATGATTTATATCTGCTTTGCCGTTGTCCCGGTGGCCGGCGTGGTGAGACCTGGCTGGGGCGGAGCCTCTCGGAGTCCTGACCTGGCTGTGTGTGTTTCCCCAGGCTCACCCCTCGTCCCTCTCTGAGCGTGGACATGTTGTGTGGGGCTGGGGTGTGCTGTTGAGGCTGTTCTTTCGGTCCGCGGTGAGGGGCCCCATCCATCAAGAATCTCAGAGAGCTCAGTATGAACGAGCGCAGCTCCCACTTCTAAATTAAATGTTGGGGGATTCTAGAAGCCTCTCAACTGATAGCTAGCACTTCTCTTCTTCTCCAAAGCTGCCAATCGGAAGCCTGCCTGGAAAGAGTGGGCACTGCCACTCCTCCAGGAAGAAAGATCAGTTCATCCCCACTCTCTCAGTGCCACTGGAATTCCGTAGCTCTCCATGGTAAGGGGCCCAGCTCCTGGTCGTCCACATTAGTCAGGCGAATAAACAGCACAGACACTTGAGACCTTCGTTGTTCAAATGCTGATTTTCCCTTAAAATATGCAGCTGGACGTTTTGCTCTCGCCCACACTGAAGTGAGCCCAGAGATAAGACGCCTACCCGCTGGGGTGTGCCCCAACCCACACCCACTACTGCCAAACGGATAGGGGAGGGCGCCCTGTGCTTAGTTTCAGACCGGCAGGACTTCTCTTGGCTTCAGAACTCGGCCAGTTCTCCTGAGGACCCAGTCTCCTCCTGGCCGAAAGGCAGGCGCCTGCCAGCACCCAGGGAGACATGGTGGCCTTGTGGAACTTCCGCCTGCCACACCCGAAGCCTAGACTGACCTTTGTGAGCAATCAAGCTGGAGCTCTCGGCCAGCCAACACTCAAACCCCAAACCTCAGGCTCAGGGGGAAGTGGCCTCACTTCCGTGACCAACACGCCCAGTCTGTCACTGAGCACGGGTGCCCCCGGCTCTCAGGGCTCTGGGCCACACCCACGCCCAGAGCGGTCTCTGGCCCACCAGCACGACTGTGACAGGTTCTGAAGACCCCAATTAAAGGAACGTCAACAGTCTGACCCACTGAAACATCATTAAAAAAGAAAAGCCCAGGGACTGAAGAGATAGCACAGCGGGTAGGGCTGTGGCTACCCGGGTTCAATTCCCAGCACCCCATATGGTCCCCTGAGCACCGCCAGGAGTAACTCCTGAGTGCAGAGCCAGGAGGAACCCCTGGGCATCACCAGGTGTGACCCAAAAAGCAAAAAAAGAAAAGCCTGTTTCGGCCAGTCAGTCCCCCCTCAGTCTGAGGTGGCCAAGTCCAGAAACGAGAACTTTTCAAAGAAACAACGCTCACCTACGGTAACTGAAGGCCCAGAAAGGCGGCGACAATCTAGCAGCTTTGCTCTGTGGGACCAGGACAGGCCCTGGGCCCACACAGGGGAGGTGCCACCCACTCCTGCACCGGGGGAAACCCACCCTAGGGACTTCCCGGGGAGCGGGAATTGAAGACTCCACGGCCTCTTCCCTGCTTCCCCAAGCTGAGCATTCCAGCCACTCGGGAGACCTCTCTCCCCACTCCCAGCTGAATTCTGTCAGACCCGAGTCCTGAGAATCGAGGCAAACGAACCCTCTAGAAACCCAAAGCGGTGAGGGCAATTCTGGAAGTCTCGGGAGTTCAGGAACCTGCCAAGGGAACTTGAGATCAACTGATTCTTTTTTTCCTCTTTTTTGTTTTTGGACCACACCCGCCAGTGCTGGGGCTGACTCCTGGCGGGCTCGGAGAACCAAACGGGATGCCGGGCACCAAATCCAGGTCGGCCGTGTGCAGGGCAAGCTCCCCTCCTGCTGTCCCATTGCCATGGCTCTGAGGGATCTTTTAACGCCAAGACTTACTCTTTCGTCAACATACTGACACTCAAACTAATTGTGCAAAGAGAAATGGCGGCAAAGCGGGAGGCACTTCCGTGTGGACCAAGCCAAGTGGAAAGTGGGCGTTCGCTGCCACCCGCCCGAGAGAGGGAGGTCTGTCCGCGGAGCGCCGTCACCAGCCCCGGAGCCTCTCTGTGGTCTCACCGCCTGAGCACCCGAGCTGGTGGCACGGAGCGCCGGTTGGTTCTCCAGCAGGGATGTCTCAGGCTACCATCCACGCGTGGGGAGACATCTGAGAGAGAGGCCAGCACACGGTGGGCTCTCCAGCAGGCGGCCTCCCCTCAAATGACGGGAGATGGTCACTTAAGGGGAACGGACAGTGCTTGTCACCATCTTTTAAATGAAAATCAGCGTTTTAGAAGAACTACCCCTGTGGTGAGCCTCTGAAATCCTGACACGTCACAGACGTTCCGAGGAAAAGGAGGCGGCCCAGCGCCCAGGGCGACGGCCCAGCCCCGACACAGACGGTGACCCGAGAGCCGCTGTCTTGACTGATGTTCCGGGGCCCTGAGCACTGCCAGGCGTGGTCCCCAGCGAGACCCTTTGGCATCACACGGCAAGGCACTTGGAGGGGCCGCCCTGCCACGGCCCGGCACACGTCTCGGAGTCCGGCAAGCGCAGGACCATCCCACACAGCCAGACGGTCCAAGTCCCCGGCTGCCCACAGTGCTGAGCCGGGTTCCTCTCAGGGGTCCGGCCCGGGGCTGATAGGCTCACCACAGAGGCCAGTCTACTTTGAGGCAATTTCTATTTGGGGGGGAAAGTATCCTTTCAGAAAACACGGTTACTCATGTTGACATGTAACATTCCTTTTTTTTTTTTAAAACAAATTAACAGATGCTAAAGGTTTTGGCTTTCCTTTCACATGCAATAAAATCACAGAAACGACCCACACAGGATGGCTCTGGGGAGCTTCAACAGGAGCGGGGCCTGGCCTGCAACAGGCCAGCCCAGGTTCAACCCCCAGCACCCCAGACGGTCCCCCCAGGCCCCACCACTCAGGAGTAACCCCCGAGTGCAGAACCAGGAGCGAGCCCTGAGCACCGGTGGCCGTGGCCCCCAAAGCCCCCAACGTCTGTGGGAGATGCGGATGACACGAACACAGCTTTTCTCTTGCTAACTCACCCACCTGCACCCAAGGTGCTGGAAAGGTCTTTCCTGCGGTGTGGAAAGGTTTCCCGGAGGAGAGAGGGTTAGCTGGTGTTGGACGCCCAGGGCGCTTAAGCCCTCCTTGCAACTCTTGAGCGCCACGGTGCTTGGCACAAGACAAAATCTCACAGCAAGTATCCCAACTAAGGAAAAGGCTTAAAATAACATTCAAAACGAGCGCTTTATTTCTGAACAGCACCAGAGTAATGTGCCACACGGTCTGTGTCAGTCCTTTATTCAGTGACAGGTGACTCACTGGAGCGCAGGACATCACAAGGCATACAGGGAGGGGCCGTCGGCAGGGGCGTTCTTCGTTCCCTATCTTTCACCGACCGTCCAAGCCCAGAAGAGGAACAAGGAGCGTTTAACATCATCATGTAAAGCACTTGAACTGACAAAGCTAAAATCTAACGAATAAATAAAAATATATTGTGGCAATCATTTCTTTTAAACCAAAAGCCAGTTGCACAGTCCGTCAAATGCTCGGGGCCACTGTCCCCTCGGCTGCGGGGCCCCAGGAAAGCAGGAGGGAGGCCTGACACCAGGAGCAGATGGCGACTCGTTCTAACCACACCAGGGCAAGGGCGCCCGCGGAGCCCCGCGTGGGTGTGGGGGGCGGGGCACAGAACACCCACAACATGGGACCAGGGTTTCTCCCGCCTGAGAGCCTCTTTCCGATGAATACTTGACTCTTCACTTCCAGCATTAATACAAACAAAATGCAAAAGAATTCAAGGTGAATGTAAAAAGAGGATGAAACAAATAATCTTCAAGTACCTTATGTGACAGCCACTCTGTACCGTGCCCAACTTATAAAATGAAAGGTTACTGAGCCTCTGAAAATACCGCTGGGATATTCCCCTAGATCTAAAATAGATCTTTTAAAAGGTATCTATGAGTCATTTCAATGTGATACTCTGAGCTTTAAAATAACGTAAACAGTTAAAAATTATACCAAATTACACAAAACTTGTATCTCAAAAGCTGAAAAAGTAAAACGATAGAAACCCACATGTAAAACAAAAATCACAATTTACATTATAAAGGCAAATCTCATCATAAAAAAAAGGCCGCAGTGAGATGTCAAAGCAAATTATAAATAGCCATAAATTAATCCATTTGGTTTCAAAAGCTTTTCTAGTAAGAGCTGACGAACGTAGTCGATACATGCATAAAATCTGCAGGGTTTATAGTGTTATTGCCGAATACACTTTATCCGGAAGCAGGCAACATTACAATTTGGACATTATTGGAGAACCCAGTTTGGTAATACAGGTAAAATTGGAAAAAATTAAATAACAATTAATAAATATATACCCTATAGTAAATCGCCTAAATGAAACTTCAAGTCACAGAGCCGCCCAGGCTGCCGCCCTGGAGAGCTGAAAAAAGGAGCATCCCCACCCTCCCGCCGCGGTGCTGGCCGGGCGTCCTCCGAGCACACCACCCACGCCCCTCGCGAGCGCTTGGCGCCTGGGCCTCTGCTGAGAGAACTCCGCTGCTTCGAGGGCCAAAGGTTCAAAAGAGAAGCAGCTGCTGCCCGGTGCTGGCCGCCACGCGGCGAGTGACGGCGTCAGGAGATGCTCACAGCACAGAACGCTGGAAATCCACAAGAATAGTTTCCCTTGTATTGAAGAAAATTGTGATTAAGTTTGTCCCCAATTTTCAGAATCAAAAGCATTTTAGAAGGTGGCTAAGGCTACCATGGGTCTTCTAGATCTCCAGCACCCTACAGGAAAAGAGAAGGAAGAACATCGTTACTATCGTTCGCCTGCGCACTGCGAGGGCGGCGTGAATTTCAAAAGAAAGCAAAATGAGATGAACAAATTACCTTCCTCTCTCTGTGCGGAAGGTACGTTAGGGGCGTGAGCACTGGCTACGCGCATGCACAGAGCTAACGGCCGGTGGCCTTCCTCCCTCTCCACCACGCGCCTTCCTCTTTCTCAAACACTCAAGAACATTCTTGCATTGGGAAAACAGATCAAAACATGGGCTATGTCTGAAGACTCCACAGTGTCAACTTAGGGTACCTTGAAACAACTTTAGACACATGATAGATACAAACACGAAAAGTTAATGTCCTACATACAGTCCCGTTGGGAAAAACTTTCCCATGTGACCAAGTCACCTGTAGTAAAAGGAACACATTTAACAAAAACAAAACATCCACCTGCCGCGTCACCATTTACAGTATTCCGTACCCTGACGTGTCTCAGGCAGATGGACCGACTCCAGCTGAGCCCTGCACGCTTGGGCACGCGCAGCCTGAGTTTTCTGACACGTCCATCATGTGTTCCTACTGTCCAAAGACTAATACTTTGAACCACACAGAAACAGTACGTTTACGTTTGGCAAGATTTCTCAAAATGTTTTCCTTTCCATCAACAAGAGAAGATCAAGTCAAAGGATTCTAAATTTTATATAAATACAAATGAATTCCTAGTGACACTTTTTTCAATACACAAACCTGGTTGCATACAAAAATCAATTTTAAAATGATTACAACATGCATCAATTATTGCACATCACACATTTTATTTAGACTTAAACAATAATAATTCCATTCTAAACACTTGGTTGACATAGAGTTTGATGTCCGTTAGCCATACAGAACATACACAAACCAATGAATACATAGGGTTTTTTTCAAAAATTATGTTGCATAAAGAATACAGAGAATGGAGGAAACCACACATCCAGTATCTCAGAACTTCTAAAAATAAAACTACAGAGATGAATTATAAACACATCAAAAGAACACACAAATCATCATCCTGGGAAAAAATTACAGGCCCACATCTGCCATTCTTCGAAGAACGAAAGTTCCTAACAAAAACACAATTTATTCCAAAGATAACCATGCGTGCGCTGAGATGTAGGTCATGTGAAGAGTCATTCTACATCGACGAGTTCTCCCACAAGGGGCCGCATCTCACGCTCAATGATCGCTAAGCCCTCTCTAGCGTACAGGAAGCTGACGTGGTAACTGTAGCCCCATTTCAGCATACAATAGGAAATGACATGTCATTTGAATAGATTCAGAGCAGTATAGCAGTCGAAGCTATCTGTAAGTGTATGCAAAGGCTGTCTTTAAAAAACAAGGCTATGTGAAGGTTATAATAAAACTAGTTTTCCAAAATTCAGTAACAAAACGATGATAGAAATGCATACATTGAGCCTCCGGGTGAAAAACCATCCAAGCAAAGGTCACGGCAATGTCACCACAAAGTCAAATCATATTGCGTCACCACTTCTCTTTGTCCCTGCATCTTCGCGCGAGCTGTCTAAGTCGGCACGATCACCATGGGGCTCCGAGGGGCCTTCCTGCATGGTCACCGGGTGGCCCGCGTCCCCGCTGGGGGGAGGCGCGGGGCCCGCGGGGTCGGCAGTGCTGTCGTCGCCCTCCGCTTTAGCTAGCCTGTAACTAGTCAGCATCTCTTCCAGGAGCTGGCGGTAGTTGCCCCTATGATTAAGTCTCATCTGCCTGAGGGCTTCCACCAACTTCCCCTGGGATCCACCTTCCTCGGCTTCCTCGGAGGCCTTTTGTTAAGATTCAAGACCCCAGTGTCAGTAGACAAACCAGGATAGACAGGCATTCCCAACACATCACAGCAAAACACCGCGCCTCCCCCGGGGAGACAGGGGCCTGAGCAGGACCGCGCCCGGCCCCCCTCCTCGCCCCCCAACTTTACACTGTTATTTGAGAAAATTCACTCTATTAGAATTCAGCGCCACCGTAAGCATTTCCTAAAACTAACTTCTTTTCAAAAGCAAACACGGATTGGCCACACTGAATTAGCACCGCCCGCCCGCCCGAGATTAGTGTTTGAAGCCACAGGAAAGGAAGCGAGGGCTCTGACCTGGGCCCCTCGTTTCTGCTGCACCGGAAGGCAGTGGACAGAAAAGGAACACTGCATTCCGAGTACGTCTGAAACCTTAAACTTCACGGATAAAAGTTTTATTTGCTTTTAGGGGCTGGAGCAATAGCACAGCGGGTCGGGCGTTGGCCTTGCACGCGGCCGACCAGGGTTCGAATCCCAGCATCCCATATGTTCCCCTGAGCACCGCCAGGGGTAACTCCTGAGTGCAGAGCCAGAGGTAACCCCTGTTGGGTCATCGCGTGACCCAAAAAGCAAAATAAATAACGTATTTACTTTTGTTGTTATTTCAACCAAAACAAAACTAGTCAAGATAGACAAATTACTAAACTGCCTCAGTTCGCTCTCCACGAGTCTCCTTCACCTTGTGTGCAGCTGAGGGGCCCGAGGGAGAAGCCCGACACTCTGGGCGCCCTCAGGTGGGTGGCGAGGAAGGGCAAAGCACCGTCTTATGTTCTTGCCAAAAACGGTTACTCTGGCTCAAATAACGCTAATTCCCAACAGGAAGGAAAATAGGGCAGAGGCTCAAGCGAGAAACAGCAAGACAGCACGGAACATTCTGGAGCCCTGGGCGGCCTCTATGGGGTGGGTTGCTGGAAGACGCCAGGGGGACCACGGTAACAGCCCATCCAGGGACCAAGGGGGCTTTTAAACAATACGGGGACAATTCTGTAGAAAATGCCTCATTCTTAAGAATTACATGCCCAAATACTCCGAGGTAAAATATTATGACGAATGAGATTCGCTACCCTAGAACTCCGTCAAAAACGAAGCATGGCACTGATACACATACAGAGGAAGATCAACGAAATAGAGTCAGATGTTAGCAACTGCCGAACTGAAGAAAAAAAAATCTATCAGTGTCGACTACTGTCCTTTAAACTGTCCTGAGCACAGGCACGGCCTCTGTGGGCGCCTGAACGGCTCCTGGGTGCCACAGGGCAGGCACTGCGGGGCGGGGCGGGGCGGGGAGGGAACTCCGCCCAAACCAAGCCGCCCCCTCCAGCCCCAGAGACCCAGCCCCACCCCCACGTGGGGCCGAAGAGTGGTAGGGAATCTCACTTCCTGTGACGCTGGTGCGGTGCATCTGGACCAGAGACGGTGGCTGAACCACCCCCAGCCCTTCCACTGCTTCCGCAGGAGAGCGCAGGCGACAACCTCTTCGGAGCCGCTCCCTGCGCCTGAGCTGAGGCTGGCACGTCACTGCACACGCCTCCGCGGACAGCAGCCTCTCTACACTCCTGCCTGCACGTGCCACCCCGGGAAAGGAACCGCCGAGAGACGCCATCCAAGCCCCGCAGCTGCCCTGGACAGGAGGGCGACCCGAACTTGTGAGGCAAGACAGTAATGACAGAGCCCCGTGTCCCTCAGCCCATTCCTGGTCTCCTAATCTCGTTTGAGTAGTTCAAGTTATGTTGCAACCTGACCTCAAATTATTTCCGACAGAAGTCTGTCATCTCCTTGACCCTGCAGGAGCCATGAAACTTCAGGACAAAAATCTGGGCGTGGAGTGATAGCATAGCAGTAGGGCGTTTGCCTTGCGCGCGGCCAGCCCGGCTGAGCAGGGTTCGATTCCTTTGCCCCTCTCGGAGAGCCTGGCAAGCTACCGAGAGTATTCAATATGCCAAACACAGTAACAAGAAGTCTCACAATGGAGACGTTACTGGGCCCGCTCGAGCAAATCGATGAACAACGGGAGGAGTGTTTTTTTTTGTTGGAGCTAGATCCAGAGAGTGGGGCTAGCCTTGCCCGTGGCCGACCCGATTCTGTCCCCAGCATCCCAGACCCACGTGGTCCCGAATCCTGCCAGGAATGATCTGCGTGCAGCACCCGCAGGACCGCGGGGGGGTGGGGGGGACACCCTGCAAAAAAAGCAAACCAACTAAAAAAAAAAAAGCCACTTTAGACAGTGACTAAAGTGAGTGCTTTCTCTAAGAGCACAGCTTCCCCCATAGAAATGGGTTTCACCAGTAAGAAAGCAAAGAGTCCCAAGAACTAGGGCAGCCGAGCTAGTACAGTGGGCGGCAGTTGGCACTGTGCATGCCAGCCTGGGCGCAATCCTCAGCCCTGAGCACCACCAGCTATACCCCCGACCAAAAAAACATGTTAAGATTCTACTACTCACATAGTCCTAAACTCACTATAAATTATCCTGAGTGATCTGTTCTTCAGGGATCTGTCCTATCACTCCTTCCTCAAAAACAGAGTCCATTGATGCAACAGTGGCCTCTGCCTCCATTTTTTCGTGAAGCTCCTTGGACAGTGGACAGAACACACGTATGTCATCTCTGTTTCAGACAGGCAAGAACTTGTGCCCAGAGAAAAATTTAGAGATCCAGAGTCACTCCATTCAGATTCACACTCTGGCTGCAGAACGTTCCACTTTGCAACCTGAGCAAGCCACTTGCCTCTCTGTGGAGTGGGGGCTGCGGGGGGCAGACACCTGTCCCCTGAGCACCACCAAGTACGACCCAGAAAGCAAAGCACCCAAAAAGGGGAACTGGAGATCCGATGAAAAAGCGATACGAGCACGAGTCGGGGAACAACCGTCCCCGAGTGGCCTTTTGCCCACGGCCACTTGACCCGAAGGACGGACTTCCGCACGCGGGGGTGAAGGGCAGCCAAGCAGGGGTGGCTGCGGACTGAAGTCACGGGGCACCACGTCCTCGGACCCCAGCACTGAACACAAGTGTCCTGCAGAGGGCCCTGGGCCCTGCCTGGAAGGGCGTTTCCCCCAAAACTGTCTGGAGACCCCACAGTGGTCTCCCCCTCACGGTGGCTTGCGAGTTAGTGCTGGGGCCTGGCAGAGCCATAAGCACTAACGGGATGGAGACGATCTTCCATGAGAAAGTTCTGGGCCCAGGGGACGGAGACAGTCCAGCAATCAGGGGAGGCGCTGCCTTGGACGTGGCTGGCCCTGCCCCAATCCCCAGCACCCCGAGCGCAGTCAGCTCGGAGCCAGCTCCCCACAACGAAGAGCCCTCTGGATCAGTCACCACGCGCCCCTACAGACGCAGGGCCGTGGGCACCTCGACCCAGATGGGACACTAGCAAGCCGCCCCCGACAGGGCCCCCAGCAGAGCCCATCTGGAGCGATATCCCCGAGCACCACCGCAAATGGGCCCCACCCTGCCGAAGAAATCAAAACCCCCCAAATGGAGGCCAAGAATGGCCCAAAAGGGCGCTTCCCAAGCGAGCCTGAGTCTGGACTGGGGCTCGGCGGGCAGGGGTGAGGGGGCTCGGTAACTATTGCAGAGACCCCCACAGACACTGAACTCTGGAGAGATTTCATTTGACTTACTTTCAACTCAGCATGTAGCATTATATTTGTTATCTGAAAGATCTTCTCTAATATATGAAAAATGAATAAATCCCCAATTTCTGGTTGTGGGGGCCAACCCAGCAGTGCTCAGGGTCACTCCTGGTGGGTCCTGGGGGCAGTAATGGGACTCCAGGATCAAGCCCAGGTGGGCCACATGCCAGGCGAGCGTCTGCCCACCGTACCATCTCCCTGACCCTAACGAACCCTAATTCCTAATGGTACCAGAACAAATCTGTCTCCGAGAAAAGAACACATTTCAGGAGTCTAAGTAGGACTGACTAGCACTAGGTTTTCCTTTTTAACATGAACAAAAATCTTGAGTCTGCCTGAATGAGTGCCTGCCAGGGCAGTCTCGACAGCAAGAAGAGTGGGTGCCACGCACCAAGGGCGCCCAGGAGCCCGGGCAGAGCAACAGCACTCACGGGCAAAAAGCCCAAGGGAGGCACAACATTGGAGCCAGACTGGAAAGGTCACTTTCACAGCGGTGCTCAGCGGCCCCCAGGGCCGTGGCAAGTGCTCAGGGCCCCCCAGGCACGGGGGATGGAGCCCCGAGCCCCCACACGCCACGTGGCCCGATACCTACACTTCCCCTCGCGGGTGCCCTCAGTTGTGCGGGCAGCAGCTCTGTGAGCCTGTGGTGCCCCCACGTGCCGCAGCCTCTCGTGAGCGGACACCCACCCACTCTCAGGGCCAGGGGCTCCCTCTGAACTGGACCCCGAGAGGGAACGGTCTAAGGCCCGTGGACTCCCACAGGCGTCCTCAGGAGCCGCCCCCTCTCACCGGCGCCTCTGCCTGCGTCACAGGGTGCCCTGTCGAGACCGTCCCCACCCCCGCCACGGAGCCACCCCCTCATTCCACTGCTGCCGATCAAAGCTTCCTGCACGGCCCAATTCTTCCCCTGGAAAACTTCGCTCCCAGAAGTCCCCACACAAGTCACAAGATGATTAGTCGCAGTCTATATTCTGTCGTGCCATTTTAGTCTCTCTGAAGGGTATGAAAAAATGCTCCTCTTTGACTTTTGTGTGTCTACCCCCAACCTGCTGCGAGAGCAGCTGGACCTGGCCTCCCTCCACAGAGCCCCCTCGGGGGAGACTGAGTCTCACCTCACAGTTCGAGGTCAAGTTCACTCTAAGTCCCGAGCATTTCCCCACTGCTTCGGGCTCTGCTCACTGCCAGGTCACTGTCTGTCCTTATCATCTATGATGTGCAAGTATTTTTTGCTTCCGACCAGCTTTCAAGTCATCCTTGGTTGAGGGGAAGGAGAAACTCAGGGTTCCACGCCCGTTAGACCGTGTGGGGCAAGGCCCACTGCCTCCTTGGGGACGGCACACACGGTGTCCTGAGGGAGGACCTGGCCCGGCAGTGGCCTTGGAGGCTCTCCCTCCCCTGTGCTGGCAGGGGTCAGGCTCAATCTGGGAGCTGCTCACTTACCTCCACTCGTCCTATAAGCACTGCTGACTCAGTTTCCTAAATGTACCACCTGATGTATCTTTAAGATACCTGCCACATTCTGATATTTGCATGACCGAGACTTAAGCCTGAAAGCTTTGCAGTTTTTCCCACAGTGATTCAATAAATAAATTAAAAAAAAAAGATACCTGCCACAGAATAACTCAGAATAACTGGTCCAGACCAAGTCCAGATCATCAGATTTGCTCATCTCACTGCGAGGGAGCAACGGTAAGCGTTGCTTTTCGGTTTGTTTCTGGGTAACACCCAGGGGTGCTCAGCTCCCAAGCCGGGATACGTAAGGAAACACCGTACTTAACATTTTCACTGTGTCATGATGAATTCCGGAAAGCCAGCACTTCTGGCACTACTGTCCACTCGTGCTGCTGTCCCCCTCAACTTGGCTGGACAAGCCTACAACTGACCAAGCTTCGGGACTGTGTGTGGCTCCTGATCTGAGGCACGCGTGGTAAAAACCAACCACTGTCAGATTTCCAAATTCGGAAAATCCCTGAAAAAAGGTGTCCTTGAGCAGCTCTGCCTGAGCTCTGCGGGGGGTCAGGCGCGTGGGCACGGGCGCCCGGGCCCTCACCGCTCCAGGCAGAGTGAGAGTGAGCTGCTCTCCTCAGGTGCTCAGCGGGGACAGGGCAGGCGCTGACCACTAACTTCTGCGTCCCGGAGGCAGCGCTGAGCTACTCCAAGAACCACATTCTTTGCCTCAAAATGAAGACCGGAGGGGAGGGGGGAGGGGGAGGAGGAGGAGGCGAGAGGAGGAAGGGAAGAGGAAGAGCAGGAGCAGGTGGAGGCGAAGGCAGCCCACACAGAAGCGCCCCGGCAGGCTGGTTAGGCCCCCCGGCCCCTGCCGTGGGGACCTCAACCCTCCCCGGCCGCCAACAAAAGCAGCAGAGCGAGGCGGCGGGCCCACAAGGTTAGCGCAGCCCCTAGCACTGACACCAGAAAGCCACGAATGCTGAAGGAATAAAAGGCAACTTACCCCGTCACTCTCTCTATGTGGGTTCAGCCTACTATAAACAGCTTCGATAACATGGCGCCTAGGAGAAAAAGGCACGCTTCAGTCTTCCTCCGCCACAAAGATTATGCTCCGAAGTATTTAGTAACACTTCATCGAGATGCCCCCACTCCAAGTTTGTCAGGAACCGTTCCTGCCTCTTACTCGGCATTCGATCCCACGCAACCTATGAGTGCTCATTTCTCAAGAAGGGCTTCATCCTGGCCGAAATGACTACTCCGTTCAAAGCCAGGGTCTCCTCGAGGCCGGGAGAGCCAGCCCAGGCGGCACCGTCTGTGGGCGCTGACACCAAGCGCTTGGGGCGCGGCCGACTCAACCACCAGAGAGTCTGGGGGCTCTTGCTCAGGCCACGGGGACCCCCGCCCCACCCAAATCTCCTTGGAACCAAGTTTCAGACTTCACCTCTGGTACAAAAGCCATCAACTCATTCCATCTGGAGCTGATTAACGTGCCTCCCCCCCGCTCCCCCCCCCCCCCCCCCCCCCCGCGACTTCACCGCTAATTATAAATGGACTCGAAACTAGCTCCGCGTCCCACTTACTTGCCAGCAAGGCCTCCTCCAGGAGGCAGATTTGGGATACTTTCAGCAGACAAAATGCGCATGACATGGGCAAGATCGGGCATTCCTTCCTCACCAGACTTCTCCATGATTTCTGTGGGGTTTTAAAGAGCGGCAGTATGAGAATTCCGTCCTCACGAGACCGGGGTCCAAGAGGTGAGATGTGGCAGCACCTGGGTAAGATCTTAAACCATCAACGCAGACCTCGCTGTCACAGACAGGGCACCTGGAAGAGCCGCCTGCTCAGGTGTGCCGCCCTGGCACTCCTCGTGCGTGCAAACACTGGAACAAGCAGAACGCTCACAGGCCAGAACATTCTGGTAGACTCACTGGGTGAGGTGTTTTATAACCACCAAATGATCCCTATGACCATAACTACAACTGCCGGACAACAAAAGCAAGGGAGAAACAAAGGTTATAAAGAATCAAAAGTCATTTTACAAAGTTTATTTCATACCTAAACAGTGCGTTCCACAATTCATTTAAAATAAAAAGGGGTATTAAACTCAAGCTTGGCAGCAAAATAATACAATCGCTATTTCTATCTGCAATTTCTGGGGGAAAAAAAAAGATCTTTAAAGAGGCTGTTTTACAGGGCTGGTGCAGGGAAGATAGCGAGGGGAGCCGAATCGCGTCCTGGGGGCAGGCAGGCAGGGAGGGAGGGAGGTGCCAATGACAATAACCGAGACACCAGCGGGGAGCTCGGCGGGTCCCTCTGGAGAGGAACTGGCAGAGGCGGAGGGCACGGACAACCTCTTCTTCTCTCTTAGGGGGTCTCCCAACAGTGCTCAGGAAGCCTGGGACCTCTCCCAGAAATTCTCGGTCAAGCAGCCCAGCAGTGCTCCAGGGCTGCTGCCCCAGACAGTGCCGGGGCGGGGGGGGGGGGGCCAGGTGAGGTCCGGGCTGCGCCACCTGCAAAGCAGCCCCTTAACCCCTACAGTTTCTGGCTCAAGAACATGCTCCAGGAATGAAATGCTAATTCATAAAGAAGGTATAACCGAATTTAAAAAAATCACCACCTGGCCATTATCTCAACAGCAACTGATCCAGGCAAGAATCAGCAGTGGATCCCCAAACTGGCAGGTGAAAACCAAGACGACCTTTATAACCTATGAGCGAGTGCCCCTCCTGAGACCTACCAGCACGCCCGACTCCCTTGCGGAACCGCCAGTTAGCCCCTCTGGGCAGTGGGGGGCACCGAGAGCAGAGCCCGGCCTCCCCCGGGGGGTTTGCGGGCAGGAGCTGGGCCCTCCAAGAGCCGACAGCAGCTGGCCCAAACTGAGGGAGTACAAAGCCAGCCGGGGCCGGGCCGGCAAGAGGCCCAGGTTTGAGTCCCAGAACCACAGCCGCCACAGAGCACTGCGGCCCTGCTCGAGGGGACAAGGGGTGGACGGGCCAGTCCACCACTGGGAGCATCCCCCTTCCAGCAGATCGCGTCTACTCGTGCAGAGACCACCCTCTGTGTTCCAGAGGACTGCAATGGGTCAGCCAATCTCCAACTGCGAGAGAGGGAGAGGCGCAGATGGCAGGAGGCATGCAGAGCAAGCCGTCAGATGGAGACCAACGCGAACCTGGAACGAGGCAGCACGCACACAGACACAGGGCAGCTGCTGTCATACAACTTCACATCATGCCAAATCAAAGGTTCTCCATGGTGGAAAGGATCACTGCCAAGGGCGGGTGCGCGGCACGGAGCAGGGCAGAGACCTGGGGGCTGCCTCGGGCATCTGGGGGCCAGTCTAGGTGTGGACGGCAGCCCGCAAAAAGAACGATGGGGGTGGAGGAGGCCAGACCTGAGAGGGGGCTGATGACACACCGTGCCTGCCGGCAAAGCCGCCTCCGCTCATGGGGTCAGGCAGGTGTGTTTTGTTAGGCCGTGTTTTAAAAGACTTGACTGCTTTTCCCATGGAAATTTACAATGTTCTGTGATAAAGATATTTCCTTTCATTCTAAATTTTAAAAGTATCTTTCTTACCTTCAACCCGTGATTCCAAGTACTTATCCAACTCTGAATCTTTTTTCACTGCTTCATCTGAGACCTTGGGGGCATTTGAAAAGCAAACTAGTACAATACTCATGTTATCTCGACTTCCCTGTGTATCAAAGAAAGGGGAAAGAATTATATTTCTATAGTCTACCAAACTTATAATTTAATTAAAAACATTCATTTCACCAAGTAATTGCATTTAATCACCCAGAGAGTACACATTCAGCAGATTCCTTTCATATTCCAAAGAATTGGGGACACACTATACAAAAACAAGGTCTCTAGGGATGAGCAGATTAATAATTATTTTCTGGCTTGAAATTCCATGTGCCCTTTTATACCTACCATTATTCCACAGCCCAGGAAATGAAGACATTATGTTTTGGGTTTGGGGGCCACACCCCGCGATGCTCAGGGGTTACTGCTGGCTCCGCAACCAGAAATTGCTCATGGCGGTGCTCAAGGGACCAGAGGCTGCTGGGGATCATCATGCCAGGCAAACGTCCTGCCCACTGTGCTATATTCAAATCTTTTCTTCTTAACTATTTCCCACAGAAGATTACTGATTCCGAGGAGATTTAACCCCCAAATGCATTCTTCCCAATAAATGTGCAATTTCCAGAGCGGGGCAATGCTACAGAGCCCTCACGATCCTTCCTCCGCAAGAGAGTGAACTGCTGACTCGAGGGACACCATTTCTACTCTGCAGAAAGCCGTGTTCTGCCTCGAACACTTACTTATCTCCTTCGCTTTTCCCACTGTGAAAACATTTTCCTTCCTTACTCCGCCATCACATCTTTCAAAGTAAACTTCTTTCAGTAAAAACTAATTTCTTTCACTTAAAACACACACTGTCACTGTCCTCCCATTGTTCATCGATTTGCTCGAGCGGGCCCAGTAACATCTCCATTGTGACACTTGTTACTGTGTTTGGCATATCAAATACGTCACGGTAGTTTGCCAGGCTTTGCCGTGCGGGCGAGACACTCTTGCCAGGCTCTCCGAGAGGGGCAGAGGAATCGAACTCGGGTCGGCCATGTTGGCCGCTTGCAAGGCAAACACCCTACCACTGTGCTATTGCTCCAGCCCATAATAAATTGAAAAATTAAAGTGGAAAGTTTTCTATGGCTAGCGTATCAATCACAGAACATAACTGAGGGCCAGCATACTCAAAGCATGTGCAGTAGCTTAAAAAAGACGACGACAACCCTGGGGCCAGAGCAACAATCCAACAGGGAGGGCGCCCGGCTTGCACGCGGCCAATCGGGGTTGATCCCCACATCCCATCTGGCCCCTCTGAGCCAGGAGTAAGCCCCAAGCACCGTATATGGCCCAAAACACAAAAATACATAAATTTTAGAAAGACATCAAACTGTTACAGTTTCAAGGTCCCAAGTGAGTATCAAAACTGAGAATTTAAGGGCCCAACATGTAGCTCGAGCACATCCCTGAATGTGTGAGGTCCTTGGTTCAATTCCAGCACCACAAAATACAAAACAAGAACAAATGTTACTGCTGTCTCTTAAGCCCACCCTCAACGATGATCTATACGGAAAAGCAAGCACAGTACTCTATATCAGAAGATCATGAGCGGTTAATTTAAACACACTCGGACACACAAAAGAGTCTCAGAACCCAGCAGCTAGCTGCAGAGATGCCTCTGGGCAGCCGTCATCCCTCCACCTGCCCCCTAGGAGTCCCGGTGGCCCCCAACTTCCAGCACCCAATGAGAAGCCCAGGTTCTCGGGTTTAGTGACAGCAAACTCCAGGCCTCAGGGGATAGAGGACGGGCTGGCCCTTCCCATCTCCCCACCCCCATGGGACCCTGGACGTGCACAAGCTGCTATTTAAGCTCATTAACAGTGATGATCCAGAGACACACAAAAAAATCTTGGAACAGAACAGCTGCAGAGATTTCTCCAGGTCCTAATTATCTAAAATTTTAGATTTCTAGGAGCATGTGGCCGCAAAAGCGGCCATGCAACATCCTACATTACTCATAGCCGGCAACACAAATAAATTATCTAGCATCTGCCTCTTCGGCAGGTTTGAGTGGGGGTGGGAAAATTCACAATAATGGTGGTGGGAAGGTGTGATGGTGCTGGGACTGGTGTCGAAATATTGAATGTAATCCACTACTGTGAACAACTCTGTAAAAATTAAAAATATTTTTTAAATTTAAAAACACTCTCATTTTGGGGCTGGAGCAATAGCACAGTGGGTAGGGCGTTTGCCTTGCACACGGCCGACCCTGGTTCGATTCCCAGCATCCCATATGGTCCCCCGAGCACCTCTAGGGGAAATTCCTGAGTGCAGAGCCAGGAGTCACCCCTGAGCATCGCCGGGTGTGACTCAAAAAGCAAAACAAAAACAAACAAAAAACCATCTCATTTCCTATAGGTAAGTCATTAATGTAACCTGTTCTTTTAGAGTGGACAAAACTGCTCTTAGAACAAGTGATTCTTATTACCTTTTACCACTCTAGAAATGAAGTGCACGGAGATGGCAGACTAGCTATTTCATCTGAAAATGGAGTGTGCCAGTCAAGTGACGGATGTGCCGGCCACCCTGATACTGGTCCTTTCAGTTACCCTGGCTGGAATCTGGCCAGACTCGGACTCGGCACCATATCAGAACCAGGCGACAGACTCTGTTTTGGAGTCATAGCCAGCAGTGCTCAAGGCTGAGTCCTGGAGGGGATTGGGGGGACGATATGGGGTGCCAGGGATTGAACCACACATAAAGCTCTACCCGCTGTACTATGGCTCCAGTGCCCAGGTGACAGTCTTTCAAAAGAAAGATCAAGCAAGGGTGCCCAGGCCAGCCCCCCCACCTCTAGAGGGAGCACTGTCAGGAGCACAGAACCAGGGCCCAGATGACTGGGCAAAGGCAGAATTTCCAGATTGGCCCAAAGTGATTTGGTTCTTCAATGAAATCTATCAAAACACCTTCATAATGACTTGAACTTAGAAATTCTACAATGGAAGCTTATGTGTATTTTACATGCCCCGAGACACAGCTCAAAGTAACAAAAAAAGGGCAACAACACATTCCACAGGAATTAGATGTGCAACCCACACACCTCAGATGGAACTGAAACTCTGTGCCACAGCTCTTCATGAATCAAGCATCACTGAGAAATGAGTTCTAAAGCAGTTCGTGAATAAACGGAATCAACAACATATTTTTAGAATCGCTTCCTCCTCCATTTTTCCTGCGGGGGAGGGGGTGGTGCAGTGCAGGATGAAACACAGGCTCTCGTACAAGCAAGTGTCCTACGAGATCTGGTTCTCCTAAGCAACTCAGCTTCTACTTGCAAGCAACACCAAGACCGCTGCCCAACAACTCCTAGTCAACGTGTTTAAGATTTTCATCAGTGTGTGTTTATTTGGGCACTACACCTGGCAGTGCTCAACGCTACTCCTGGCTCTGCTCAGGACCAGTGATGGGCTTTGGGGACCATGTGTGGTCAGCTGCACGCTAGGCCAGCGCCCGACCTTCTCTGATGCTCCAGGCCAACAGACTGGTTGGCTTGGTGGTTGTTTTTTTCTGCTCCTCGGGCCACATCTGCGATTCTCAGGGGTGACTCCTGGTTCTATACTCAGGAATTATTCCTGGCAGTGCTCAGGGGACCAAATGGGATGCCGAAGATCAAACCCAGGTCGGCTGCGTGCAAGGCAAATGCCCTACTCGCTGTATTCCTGGCCATCAGTCTTTTTTAAAGTAACAAAAGGTAAAGGTAAGGTAAGGCCCTCCCGTTGATCGTCGATTTGCTCGAGCGGGCCCAGTAACGTCTCCATTGGAGACTTTGTTGTTACTGTGTCTGGCATATCCAATACTCTCGGTAGCTTGCCGGGCTCTCCGAGAGGGGCGGAGGAATCGAACTCGGGTTGGCCATGTTGGCCACTTATAAGGCGAACGCCCTACCCGCTGTGCTATCGCTCCAGCCCTAATAGTTGGAAATCAGCTGAAAGGTAAATTTCAGGAACTTTAAATATTCAAAGAAATTTAAAGGAAAGAATGGACATCTACACGTCAGCATTTATGATTCCAATGATGCTGTTTTTATTTATAAAAATGGCTTTTCCCTGAATATCAAGTCAAACTACATTTCAGTCGTTTTTGTATTATAAGAAAGAATATTAAAATATTCACCTGGGGCTGGAGAGATAGCACAGAGGGTAGGGTGTTTGCCTTGCATGCGGCCAACCCGGGTTCGATTCCCAGCATCCCATATGGTCCCCTGAGCACCGCCAGGAGTAACTCCTGAGTGCAGAGCCAGGAGGAACCCCTGTGCATCGCCGGGTGTGACCCAAAAAGCAAAAAAAAAAAAAAAATTCACCTTTATGATGCGTTAGTTTTCTAGTGATAATCAACCTTATGTAAATAATATCAAACTATCATTAAGCCCAGTAATACACACAATTTGGAGGGGGGAACCCTGGACGGTGAAGAGGATCGGCTTGAGGTGAGGGGGGGGGGGGGGCGCAGCGGGCAGAGGGTGGCGGCACGGCAGTGGAGCAGGCCGAGCCCCACAGTGGCCCCAGAGCACAGAGCCCAGAGCATGGAGTCCTGCCACGCGTGGGCCCGGCCAAACACCCGCAAAAATAAAAGCCACTGTGTCCTCAGCTTCCTTTCCACTTCTGCCAGCGGCACAACAGCGACCTAAGGCGGTGTTCTTCGGCCCCGTGACCCTCAGAGGCCGGCCAGCGCCACACCCAGGGGCAGCCTCGTGAGCGGGTGGAGCCCGTGGGCCAGCACTGTGCAGGGACACTGGCTGACCAGAGCATCCCGACAGGAACCTGGCCCTGCCCTCACAAGGTAACGAAACGTGATCTGGACTTAGCCCGAAGCCTGCACCGGACAGGAGCCCAGATCGAGTCCTCGCAGGCACAGGACCAAGGCCTTAACCAGCAGGCTCTCAGCCAGGTGACGTGAGCCAAGGACTCTCGGGGAGCCACCAACGCTCCCGACCTTTCACCTTTCGTTCTGTTATACACACATACATTGGTTTGGGGCTACACCTCGTGGTGCTGAGGGGTCACTCTGGCTCTGCACTCAGGGATCACTTCTGGCGGACTCAGGGGACCATTCGAGGTACAGGGC